ATGCGAATCTTTTTGTTGGCCTCCGCACCCTACAAAGATCATGCGGGGCGCACACAGGACTTCCAGAGCCAATCGGCCCTCGGGTCGGCTGGCTTTGAGGGCAGATACCCCTCTCATGGCTCCAAAACACATGAAAGCAACCCACTCTCCTTCCAGGCTAATTGCAGCAGAAAGCTAGCTCTTGGTTAAAAAGCAGCTCCAGAGCAAACTTTTGATCAAACACTACCAGCGAACTACGTGATTGGCATGGCTTTTTTGATCCAAAGTGCCTGGACAAGCCATCCCATGTTGTACTCCATCTTGCTCTGGGTGAACCGAATGGAGTCCTGCACAATGAGTGCAGTGCATCTGCATATGTCGCACAGACTAAGGCTTTACACTGAGGTCTGAGTCTGAGGGTCACTGCACATTTCCTTGGCGTGTCGCGCTGTCACGAACTTGCTGGGCTGCAGCACCGACTGTTGTCTTTGTTTCATTTGCGCACATCAAAAGGATTGGTCCCATTGAGCTTTGTAGACTCCAGTTTCTGCCTGTAGCGTTTCCTTCAAAGCCTGGTGCTCTTTCCTCTTCGCTTCAGCATGGTCATGAATTGCTTCACAAAAGCTTTCAGGCCAAAAACACAAAACAGAATGGCCAACAAAACAACACGTTGCTTGCAAAGAGCCCTCCAAACATTGCTTCTGAGAAACATGCAGTTTGGGTAGAAAGCAGTGAAGTCTGAATAGCGAGTTCAGAAAATCATTGGCACTGGCTCGCCACCTGTCCCTTTCTGTGAAGAAACATCGTGTCGAATACTACCTTGCCACACTGGTGCAGGTGTAGTCTATAACTGCTGCACATGTTAAAAGGCGCCACCAAACAACTCTTCACTGCAGGTTTGGGACTAGTTTGGCGAGTATGGTGTACTTTAACGAAAACTCAAACACGTGGCATTTCCTGTGGAGTTGTTTACATACCAAATTTCATCTGATAATTGAAAAGCATATCACTTTGGGAGTCCTCCTGTGCTCCTGTGTTTTCAAGACTTCCCTGCGTCTCAAGTATGTGAACAATAGTGCTCTTTTGCTGTTGCCGTCACCACAAACGCTCAAACTTGTGCAGGGGCATGATGGCTTTCAGAGTCTGGAGCAAGAATCAATTGCACAGAACTCAAGGTCGCTGTGCGCTGCCTTGCGTTCTCGACTTGGCGCTTCTAGAAGCGTCCTGCTGCTTTTTGGACAGGCCGGCATAGGACGGCAGCGCAGACGGATGATGATCCAGCACATAGCCTGGGACATGGGGTATGTACCGGGGCAGGCGCACACACACACCTCGAGCTCCTGCGTGTCAGATCTTCTTGTTTAACCTGGGGATGGCTCTTGCAGCACCGCTTTTTGCACGCTTGATGCGGTGGCCACTCTTGATGTCGCGGCTTGAAGGCCAGATCCGAGGCATTGGCTCAGCGCTATGTCGTGGTCATGAATCGTTTCACCCGCCTGTGCTCAGCCGCAAAGAATCTCAAGGCATGTGAAACGCAGGTCTGGATACGAGGGCTTGCGCACAAATCCGCAAACCCTCAAATCTCTCACTTGCCCGCAACGAACACCTGATTTGTGTGGCATCCTTCAAACAAGCACCAGCACAGCAAAAGTGGGTGAAGGCACGGGGATACAAACATATGAGCCACAACATCGCGAAAAACGGGAGGGAAGAGGGGGACATTAGAGAATGATACGAGGATACCATGATGGCCTCGAGACCTATTCATGGTATGAGCAAACGCAAAGGATTGAGCACAAGGAAGTGGCTCACCCAAAATGGGCCAAGTCACGACCCTTCCTTTTCATGGACTGCCGGCGGGGCGAATGCGTGCCTTGTAGCCACGGTAAGGAGCATATGCTTCCTGCACTATTGGCAGTAGAGACACCTGGCAGTCACGTCTGAAAATCGTCTTTGCTGAAAGCAAGCTCCAAAGACATCAGACATGCCCAGCTCAATCCTCAAACGTTGGCAAGAAACAAACCTGGTAAGAAACTGTGCTTCATTGGGTGAGATATGTTCAAGGCCGCCAAGGCAAGATGCATTCTTGTGAGTCACTGCTTGCTGCCTGTCTACCAGCTTGGTTTGCTATTGGGACCTGGAGACCTGATGTTGAAGAAAGTAAGGGTGACGGAAACCGTGACTGTGCCGACAATGTGGATGATGACAGGATGACTAGGATGATTAGGATGATGAGAATGATGGGGATGATGATGGTGATGGTGATGGTGATGGTGATGGTGATGGTGGTGGTGGTGGTGATGATGATGATGATGATGATGATAAAAAAAAGGAGGAGGAGGAGGAGGAGGAGGAGGAGGAGGACGACGACCACGACGACAATGGCGATGGTGATGACGCTGGCGCTGGCGACGACCAGGAGGAGGAGGAGGAGGAGGAGGAGGACGACGACCACGACGACAATGGCGATGGTGATGACGCTGGCGCTGGCGACGACCAGGAGGAGGAGGAGGAGGAGGAGGAGGAGGATGATGCCGTTTTGCACTCAAGGGCTGCGAGTCGGCAAAAGTTCGACGATCTCATCCGCAGACTTCATTCGATGAACATATATGGAACGTGACGTAAGCTTTGTGACAAACTGGCAGGCGTACAATCTTCATGATGTCGTGGATGGCGGTCAGCACCTGATGGCATTGCAACAGCAGTGGACTATTCTGTGTTCGGGGTGAAACAAGTGGCGCTTGTGATAGCTAACTTAGTTATGTTGAAAATTGGGCTCTCGAGATTCAAACCACAGAGCAGCAAGATGCATCCTAGGCTGTGGGAGATACCTGGCAAACTTGTATCCGTTAGAGTCTCAATTCGATTTTGATCAAACGTCTGCTCCAACCAGTGAGGTGGACTGCCGATAAACAACATCCCCACGTCTGGAATGTCACACCCTTCAACCTCTTGATGCTGGGCAGAAGAATGTGGAGGAGCCACTCAAACAACAGCGCATGCGCCAGCTTGTCCATTGAGCCGGAAGACAAGGACTGCATTCCGGGCCCGATGTGGAACCAAGCAGACCTGTAGAAGAGTATATGGCAAAGGTGTTTCTACACGATGTCAGCACAAACCAAACCAACATGTTTTAAATACACAATGAAACATGGTTTCCCACGCTGCCCTGGGCTTGGACTCGTCAGCTCCGCTTAGGTGCCACACCAACATTGCCAGGACGCGCTCCTCGTCGTGGCCTTGTCTCCCACGAGGCAAACTGCGGGGACACAGCGCTGCCAACGCTGAAATGACTTACATGGGTGTGTCTCAAAGTGGACCCCCTTTTAGTGAAATAGGTGTGTCTCGTAACACCAACAATTCGTACCCTCAAAAAAAGAGTCCCCAAATCAAAGTCGCCGCTGTGTCTCGGGACCGCCCATTTTGGCCAGCCCACACTAAATATGGGAGGGCTGAAGAAGCAGCGAAAAACCTGATGCAAAATCCCCGCTGCTTCATACTGAGCCCGCAACCCTGCACGCCATCGCACAATAGCCCAGCATCGTGCCTCAAACAGGAGCTGGAAAACCATGCCACGCCACGTACACTTACTACTCTCGTTGCCGGAATCATGCTATACCCCGCTATGAAGATGAATTGGCAGTGCTGCAACGAAACACTCGCCAAATGCTGCCCGAGCATGTATATTTTGTTGGTCACATTGCGCCGAGGGAACTAGAAGCCTTACCGCGCACATGCATGTCGTATATTCTATACATGTGGTACCCTGCACCCCTCCCCCCCAAACCAGCAGGAAAAACAAACTACAAGGGCGTGCGCTAGTGTGTACAGTACGTGCGCTTCCTGGTCACCCATTTCTGAGACCTCCCAAACTGAAGTATTTGTTCTATCCACGCACTTGCGCAAAATTCTTAAAAGTGCTCTG